ATGTTATCCAACTGCAGGATGCCTAAATATTTGTAGGCTTCATTTTTGTTGCATTTAATTATTTGGCCATTGGGCATTTCAATTCCCTCACGTGTAGTGATTCTGCCCCTTTTTATGGATACAGTGGCGCATTTTTCCATGCCAAACTGCATTGAAATATCGGTGCTGAATACTCGGACTGTGTTTGTTAGTGATTGGATTATTATTATTATTATTATTATTATTATTATTATTATTATTATTATTATTATATATGAAACTCAGTCAACTGAGCATTCAAAAATGCATCACAAATACCACTGAATGTTGCTCATGATTGATATGGGTTGTTGTTGTTGTTGTTGTTAATAATTCCTTGTTATGGTAGCCAGGAGACCACCATGCTATTGCAGAGTAGTGGTCTGGCTTCCCAAGGTTCTAGAAGAGACCTTGTTGATTGTGGATGTTGGTATACAGCACTGATCTCCCTGCAAAGTTTATATTATTACTACTAAAAAAAGGAATACATTTAATTACATTCCATATAATATCTCTTTAAGCCTAAACTCTTGCTTGAACATTATGCATATCATAAATTACCTCTTCCAGGTCATCGTCTGGCGTGCAAGGAGTTTGATCTGTTCGATCCGTTTGATATGAGATTGAAGAGCCATCCGATTCAAGAGATGTTTCTTCATCGTACCCAAAAAATGTTTCCACCACTGGCTTCTGACCAAATGACAATGTGTAAGTACAAAGAAGCCAAAGTTGCAAAGATGTTAAGCATAACTGACATAAGGAATAATTAGATTTCTTCCATGATGCTATTTATGAATCTCAGCACTTTTCTCATTATATAGTAGTTTATCAGATCTGCCATGGAAATGGGGCAGCAGAGTAAGTAATGATTATCCATCAAGTACAAATTAATGGATACCAAAGCTGCTGTTGAGCCAGCATAAATCTTCTATAACTTCAGTGTAGAATCATCACAAATGATAGTAAACTTGATATTTAATCTATTGTGGGATAAAAATTGGTGCTATCATCTATGCGTATTCCCCCAATGCATAAAGAAATGGAGTGTGAGCTGGGAAAAAAATCTTTATATGGACCTTCACAATGATAAAGAGGTTTAGGAAGAATAGCTTTAAAAAAGGGATGAAAGGAGGGGATATGAACTAAGAAGGAATGGGTGGAGGAAGGAGAGAGTCAGAATGGAAGGTTTTGCAAAATAATCAATTTAGAGACTTGTAGGGATGAAAAAGCTCTATGGAAGGATTTAAAGTGTCTTTAAAAAGGTAACAGGAGAACAGATATTGACTGAAAATATGAGAAACTAGATTATAGTTTACCAAGAAAACCCAAAATTTCTGGTATTCTAAAGAGTTAGAACTATTGAACTCATGGAGGAAGAGGGAAATATCCCTACTTGATTTTCATTAAAAAAAACCCAACTCTAAATGGGCAAAGAAGAAAATGTTTATTTTAGTCGAGTCTGTCAGGTTTCTGAAAGATGCCTTAATGTCAACTCATAAAACCTTTACATGTCTGTTATAAGTTGCCAAAGTCAAGATAAGAAAGCAAGTAGAAATTCCTTGAAATTAACTTTGCTGTGATGCACTATTGGGAGATGTTTAAGCTTCTGAACTTTAAGAAGAAATATTGGGGAAACAGCAAAGGTTTGCTGAGATCTTCCACCGTCCAAGAAGCTGCTGCCAGATGTTCTGGAATAAAGACTGACAGATTCATATGCAGAGTCATCACTTTCCTATTCACCCACCTGCAAGTGAACCACAATCAGTGACATTTTAATTCAAAAAGTAATTTTTTTACGGGTGGTGGAGAGATTTTTCAACATTCTGCTCTGAAAACCAGTTTGTCTTCACGTCCTTCAACTGAGCTTTTAAAATTTAAGTTATAGTATCTGCCTCTCTGTAAATTTTATTTAGAAGATTTTAGAGAAGGTGCAGTTTGAATTAATTTAAATATTGGAATAATTTATCAGTAATTTTTTTGACATTCTTAATGGCATTTGTCGGCATAATTTTATATTAGAGCTGAACCTGAATTCATGACGGAAGTGACTTTGGTGATACTATTTTAATAAACATCTTCACGTTTAGATTGAATTAATGTAGTTTTGAAGGGCAGGTGAAGGTGTGAATTAATTGTAGGGAAAGATCTACATTCTCACTCCGTTTATACATTTCTCAAAAGCTTCTGGATAAATCTGTGGGAATCCAGATGCTCAGCCAAATGGTGTCTTTCACTGTTCCATCAAATTTTTCATAATACTTGCCCCCGAATAAGACTTTTTTTTACATTATTCGCTTACCTTGGGAAATTTTGCAAATTTCTTCCTTTGTTTCTTGTATCTTAAAAGCTTGTCACGCTCCTGACAAGGAAGAACAGAACAAACAATAGTTTGAGCTCTGCATATGAAACATGTTTATAAGGTAAAGGTTCACCTCGCATATATGTATGTGCTAGTTGTTCCTGACTTTAGTGGAAGGTGCTCATTTCCATTTCAAAGCCGAAGAGCCAGCGCTGTCCGAAGACGTCTCCGTGGTCATGTGGCCGGCATGACTAAATGCCGAAGGTGCATGGAACGCTGTTACCTTCCCACCAAAAGTGGTTCCTATTTTTCTACTTGCATTTTTACATGCTTTNGAGCCCCAGCTGCATAATTAATCTTGCATCCCGAAAAGACTCACAGAAGATTGCTGTTGAGTCACAACACCCATCCAAGTTACCTCCCAAAATCTCAGATTTTTAGCCAAAACTGGTCTTAAAACCATATGAAGCAAAGAACTAAGCTATGGATTTAGCAAGTGAATTTCTGGGAGTTAAAAAAAAAAGCTTTTCTCTAGGGCTATTATAATATAGATTTCTCCTAGAAAACAAAATAAGCATAGATCAAATAAGTATCAAATGACTCTCCACCTGGAAATGAGATCAGGCAGCGGAGTTGGGCAGAGGCAGTGCTGGGAAAGGGAAAAAAAAGAACAAAAGGATTGGAAATTAAGCAAGGCAGTGGGTAGACAGCAAGGAAGAATGGGAAGAGAGGCGGCAAGAGTTTAGACTAAGGGCATTCCTAGGTTGTCCAAGAAAGGCTGCTAAATCTCAACACTTCTACAATGATGGTAAGGATAGGAGAGAAAACGAGAGGTTCGCCCTGAAAAGAAAGCAGGAACGTAGCTGGTTTGACTTCTACAACTACATGGCAAGAAAGACTGCAGGGGTGGATTAAGGCTCACTGGTGCCCTAAGCACTGAGAAATCTTGGCGCCCCTCCTTTGTACATACGGTACAAATCTTCATTGGTGTTTTTTCTTTCTTTCTCAACTTTGTGGTGCCCCCTCTGGGCCTGGTGCCCTAAGCACATGCTTAGTCTGCTTAATGGTTAATACCGCACTGGCAGACTGTTGGAGACAAAATCACACTGGGGGGGGGGGCTACCAGGTTGATAAGAAACCCCGCCTCTGTCCTCATTTTCTACTTCACTACCCACCCATCTTTTATTCTTCTACCACTGAAGCCTCCCTGTTTTCTTTTTATTCCTTGTTCTATTGTTCCATTTCTTTGCTACTATTATGCTTAGGATATAACTGATGAAAAATATGGATTCAGTTGCAAATGTATATTTGATGTCAAAACTGCCTAAAATGTGTGCCTTAAATATATTTAAGTGCCTTAAATATTAGAAGCTTACGCCTTCTTTCTTTCTCTGCCGGCACTGCTTTGCATTTTAATACTCATTGCTCCATTCGCACAAAATAACAGAGCATTGTTTAATGGGCAGAAAAGGAGCATCAGTAAAAATGGACTTGTTCCAACGCACTTGTTCTTCTACCAAACCCTCGCAAATAGCACTTAGACTTCTATATTATTTCATAATGCTTTACAGCCCTCTCTAAGTGGTTTACGGAGTCAACATATTGCCTCCAAAAATCTGGATCCTTATTTTATTGACTTCGGAAGGATGGAAGGCTGAGTCAACCTTGAGCCAGTCAGGATCAAACTCCTGGCAGTGAGCAGAGTTAACTCGCAATACTACATTCTAACCATCACGCCACCATGGTTCCTTATGTGATGTAGTGGGGAAGATATTCGAGTTGAATCTACCTTCAGTCAAAGGCTTACTCGGTGATTTTGATCCAGTCACTCTCTCACTGAACTTGTTTTTATAATTCAAATGCTATGTATGTTGCCCTGAGCTCTTGGAATAAACACAGGATATAAATCTAATAAATAAACATCAATAAATTAAACCAGGAAATGTGTATAGTAAACTAAGATCTGCTAAGTAAGATAACCAATCCAGAATTTGGAATTATCAATTATAACTTGCATATTAGAGGAAAAGAGGAACCAGAAAATGGGGAACTGTATTTTATTTCTGTTTCCAGTCATGAGGGAGAGACCTCACTTGGGATACTTTATAGATATAAATCTGATTTAGCTTTACAATATAGGGATATTTTAGACTTAAGTTCCACAAATGGAATGATCAGGAAAATTAATTTAGAATTAAGTCCACTTTCCTTCTAGATCATTTACTGATTTTCCAAAAATCAATCCTGTGAAATGGAAAAGGATAAAAAGAATACAGACATGGTTCAGCACCAAAACAATGTTTGGAACCATTTTCAATTCAATAGATTAATTTTTGGAAAACTGTTTGGCAATCTCCAAGAGTTCATGCTTCCATGTGAACCTATTGCTAGTTATTTTATAGTGAAAACGTTTGATAAATTTGTTACAGTAATTAACACAAAACATTTTTTCCCAATGTATATATTACCTGTCCTTGTTCAGCAAGTGCCTTTTCTAGATCCTCTATTTGAGCTTGGGATCTCTGGATTTCTGCCTGAAGCTGCTCACGAGTCTGTAGGATGGGATTGAAAAAATGTCAAACTTACTCTGATTGCTGCTATGTTACATTATCCCTAACACATTTTTGCATGGAGGGATGTAAAATTGGAATTGATACATGCTAAAGACAGCCATCGTTCTCTTGTACCAATTCCTCATACTTCAGGGACACATTTTCATGTCCATCATCCTGTATCATCTATGTCTTTTAGTTGATTAAAAATTGATTACATTTTAATGTATTACATTACATGTTAATAACATGCCCACTGTCAGTAACCATAGGAAATTGGTTGCAAAAAGATGAAAAATTATGTGCCTGTGCAACTTTACTAACAACCCTTCACGTTACTTCTTTATTTTCTAGCATTTCTGTCTACAATGGAACTGAATTTCAATTTCATTCAGAAAATTTGTTAAAAGTAAAACATGTCCCTAACTAGGGATGAAGTTGATCAGTTATTTCCACTTTATGTTGATTTCAACTCAGCCTTGAGTTTGACACCGCTGCTTTAAGCACTCTTTTCAAGCCAATGAGGATTCTCTCGGTGTGTGCCTGCATGTAAACCTTTAGTAATTTCGTTCATCATTAGAGAGAAAATTATAATTTTATTCTAAATTTAAATCAACAAGAAAATGTTGTTGTATGGCAGGAAAAGGAAAAGAAAAAAAGAGACAGAAAGTCATGACTTAGATGCTTTGGTTTTGCTGGTGGGATCCTGGAAATATGTGGCCTGCAATGCAATAATCAAGGGATTTCTTAATAAGTACAGTATTTAATTTATTAATCGGTGAAGCAAAGCAAGTTTGTTAAATGTCACCTTCCCATAATTTCACACACACTCCCACCCACATTTTATTTATTAGTTTATTTATTTAAAATATTTACATAGCTGCCCAGCTTATAACAAACCACTGGGTGGTTCCCAACAAAGCATAAAACCATGTAGTGCATCTTTAATGCCCCATTCTCAGCATATCTTTTTAAATAGGCCCCTCTAAGCCAGGAATGGTTCAGAGCGGTGGTTCTCAACCTTTCCAATTCCGTGACCCTTTAATACAGTTCCTCATGTTGTGGTGACCCCCAACCATAAAATTGGTGTCTCGGTTCCTAAGACAACCGAAAATATGTGTTTTTCGATGGTCTCAGGCGACCCCTGTTAAACGGTCGTTTGACCCCAACGGGGTCCCGACCCACAGGTTGAGAACCACTGGTTTAGAGGGACCTAAACTTTGGTAACTTTAAGAGTTGGCAGGCTGGGGAATTCTGGGAGTTGAAGTTCACAAGTCTTAAAGTTGCCAAAGTTGAACACACCTGATCTAAAGCAAAGATATGAAGGGGTGGGAAACTGAAAAAATTGTAAAGAGTTCAGGAACAACATGATACGGTCACAAGTTTTTACTTTCATGTAATATAAGCCATTTAGACCTTAACTTCTCGCTCAGCATCCAACGTTCCTCCAACTTGTTCTTGCAAGAGTGCATATGCTCTCTGTAAAGCTTGATATTCCATTGTCAGCTGCCTGAATCTTAATTCCGTTTCTTCTTTTGCCATGCCCTAGTGTGAGAAGGAATGCAAAACTGAACTGGAGATGCAATCATCCTGACCAATCAAAACATTGGCATTCACCAGTCTGTTTATGAACAGTACAACCTCTTTTATGAAATAACAATTTGAGAGAATTATAAAATGTTATGTATTTATTAATGGATTAACTAAAATATTTCTAATGCAATATCTGTGCTAGTCTCCA